CCACTATTCTTCCTGACTTTCACAGGAGCAATATCATCAATTACACTTTTAACTTTTGAGTTAAAAGAATCAAGGAGACAATCAACAGAGTCAGCAGATATGCTTGGTTTTAAAGATATGGCCTTCATAAATAGCACACTAGTGTTCTCATTTAAGCATCTCTTCTTGACAGACACAGATCTAGCTTCAATGGCAGGAGAGATCAATATATCAAAGAAAATACAGAAATGATCAGACAGTGCTACATCCTTAATAACAATCGATGAGATGTTTAAACCCTTACTGATAAGTAAATCTAGAGTGTGTCCATGATTGTGTGTGGGACCATGTACATGCTGAGTCAGATCAAACGTTTTTAAAACAGTTTTGATTTCTTTTGCCATATTGTTTTCTGCATTATCTATGTGAATGTTAAAATCTCCAGCAATGGCAAAACAGTCAAACTCTGAGGAAATTGTTGATAGCAGTTCTGTAAAGTCCTCAGCAAAGGCTGGAGAGTATTTTGGAGGCCTGTAAATAATGATAAGTAAAATACGTGGAGCACCTTTTAACACAATACCCAGATATTCGAAAGACGGGTAATTCCCAAATGATATTTGCTTACATTGATAGACATCTTTAAAAAGAGCAGCTACTCCCCCGCCTCTCTTACCCGCTCTGCAGACACTCATAAAAGTAAAGTTAGGAGGGGATGATTCATTGAGGACTGTTCCACTGCAGCTGTCTTCTAACCAAGTTTCATTTAGAAACATGAAGTCCAGGTTGTATGTGGTTATTAAATCGTTGACTAGAAGTGATTTATTTTTAAGTGAGCGGATGTTTAAAAGTGCTAACTTAACAGTCTTACTTTTTGTCCCCACAGCGATCTTAGTTTGGTGCGTAATAGGCACCAGATAAGATGGGTTTGCTGTACGGCTTTTGAAGGCCTTAGATTTTCTATCATGTAATTGAACGGCAATAGAGAAAGATTCAGGCACACTGGGTTCCCGCTTGTTTTGTAAACATTTAAGAAAGTTACTGTTTTCATAGCGGGGACCCGACACATATCACTGAGAGCTGGTATCAGTTGTTTTTGGTTCACCTCGAGCCGCTGGAGGAGGGTGTGAGCCCTGGCGCTGTGGCAGAGGCCGAAGAGCTCTCACAGGAGGAGGAGGAGGAGGGGGAGGGCGAGCTGGGCCCGCAGGCTTTGGTGGTTGTGGGCCCTGCCGTTTTTTGGTTGACATCTGGGGACTTGCAGCAAAAGAGTGCGATAGTTTGGTTCCAGCATACACCAGTTTTTCCATTTTCTCTGAGAAGCACAGAAGTGGAGATGCTGGAGAGAGGGATAACGTGTCTGGGGAGAGGGGCTGTTGCTGTAATATGCTGTCCTGGTTTCCCTCGCTGTTTTCCAGAAAAGTGTCCTTGGGAGCTGAATCTTGGAGCAGTTCTGATATGTCCCGGTCTGTCTGTGGAGAGCTCTGTGGGCGGGGCTCTGCTGAGATTGTGTCCGTGAGCAGAAGTTGTTGTGGCTGCATGGTGTTATCGTTGTCCTTGTGTGATATGTCAACCGCATGTCCATTCAGGTGCTGAAGTGAAGTCCTGTGGTCATTCATACTGTGTCCAGGTGTGTGTGTGCCATTCAGGTTGAGTGGATTGGCACACACTGCAGAAGGATGATTGAGAGAGAAGTAGATGTTGTCCTTTAGCACTCTTGAACCAAGTTTGTTTGGGTGGAGCCCATCCTGTTGAAACAGTTGCCTCTGACTCCAGAAAAGATTGAAGTTGTCAATGAAGTTCACTCCTTTTATATTGCAGGTTTTCTGCAGCCATGTGTTGAGCCCAAGCAACCGTGAAAACCTGTTTGTTCCTCTTGCTGGGAGTGGTCCACTGATGAATGGCTGAACTTTCTGTCTTTTAAGTGTTTCAAAAAGTTCCTTGAAATCCTTCTTAAGGAGTTCTGACTGCTCTTTATGAATATCATTTTTCCCCACATGAATGATGAGTCGATTTGCAGTCTTATGTTTCATCAGAATGTTCTGAAGTTCCCTATTTACATCAGAAGTTGTTGCTTGTGGAAGGCAGCACGTAGTTGTATCCCTGCTAATAATGTTTCTGATTATGGAGTCACCCACTATCAGAGTCCTGGGCTCGGCTGCGCTCTGAGCTGAGTGCCGCTGTCTGCTCGACCTTGAGCGCCAGTTAGCAGTGTTGGTAACTGGCTGATTCAGTCTGTGTTCGATCACATTCATCACATTCAGGGATTCCTCATTCATTAATATTTCAAATCTGTTCTCAAGATGTATAGGCGGTGGTAGGAGACCAGTGTTTGCAATCCTTGTCAGAGCCGTATCTGGGGTAGAGGATGCTACTGCAGCAATATGTGATGCTCGTGACAATCTGATGTCTCGAGTGCCTTTGGGTCTCGCTCCCTGTTTGTGCCATCGATTTGTAAGTCGATCGGCTTGTTTCTCGACACTCAGTATGCAGTATTGGAGCACTAGATTCATGGGACTCACCGGCTGTATGCTGAGGGCGTCCATGACGAAGCTCTGTTGTGTGTTCCGTCTGGTTTGGTGGTCCCACAAATAACTTTGTTTCAAGAACTGCAATCCTTTGTGAAAGTCTCTGGCAGTTAGTGCAGCAAGTAGATTCCAGAAGAGGCATTTTCTCTTATCCTTTTGCAGTTGTGTTTTCCCTTCCCCGGAATGTAAGCTTTCAGTGGGAGGCTGGTCGGAGAAAAGAATTCTGCTTTTTTGTAGTAATCAAGCGTTTGAGCACTGTGCTGATTTGTTGAAGTTAAAATTAGGTGATAAAAGGAGATAAAATTTAAAAATATAGAAGCAATAGAGCGATTAAAAAATAAAAAAGCGATAGAGCAAAGCGCGGAGCAGTAAGCAAGAGCGTCCGAACAGTAGCTGAACAGGAAATGGAGGCAGACAATTATTAAAGAATAAAACAGTAAAACAACATGAAAATCACCACAGTGGTAGTCAGTGAGATGTAGAACAATAATCTGGTGGAGTTTGCAGAAAACAATTTGATTAGCATTTTTTATGAATTTATTAAATGTTGCTGTATAACAAGGTATACAGTATAGGACTTTGGCAGTTAATTATTAAATAATAAAACAGTAGATCAACATGAAAATCACCACAGTGGTATTCAGTGAGATGTAGAACAATAATCTGGTGGAGTTTGCAGAAAACAATTTGATTTGCATTTTTTATGAATTTATTAAATATTGCTGTATAACAAGGTATACAGTATAGGATTTTGGCAGGTAATTATTGAATAATAAAACAGTAAAACAACATGAAAATCACCTCAGTGGTAGTCAGTGAGATGTAGAACAATAATCTGGTGGAGTTTGCAGAAAACAATTTGATTTGCATTTTTATTAATTTATTAAATATTGCTGTATAGCAATGTAAATATTCATGAGTTTGGCAGACAATTATTAAAGAATAAAACAGTAAAGCAATATGAAAATCACCACAGTGGTAGACAGTGAGATGTAGAACAATAATCTGGTGGAGTTTGCAGAAAACAATTTGATTAGCATTTTTTTATGAATTTATTAAATATTGCTTTATAACAAGGTATACAGTACAGGACTTTGACAGACAATTATTAAATAATAAAACAGTAGATCAACATGAAAATCACCACAGTGGTAGACAGTGAGATGAAGAACAAGATTCTGGTGGAATTTGCAGAAAACAATTTGATTTAAAATGTTTATGAATTTATTAAATATTGCTTTATAAAAAGGTATACAGTCTAGGATTTTGCCAGTTAATTATTAAATAATAAAACAGTAGATCAACATGAAAATCACCACAGTTGTAGTCAGTGAGATGAAGAACAATATTCTGGTGGAATTTGCAGAAAACAATTTGATTTTAATTTTTTATGAATTTATCAAATATGCCTATATAGCCAGGTATACAGTATAGGACTTTGGCAGTTAATTATTAAATAATAAAACAGTAGATCAACATGAAAATCACCACAGTTGTAGTCAGTGAGATGTAGAACAATAATCTGGTGGAATTTGCAGAAAACAATTTGATTTTATTTATTTTATTATGAATATTTTTTTTAAAGTCTGCCGACACCAAGCGCATACACCTTGAGCCTACCACGCAACCTCGTGTAGACGCGCAATATATTTTTAAGCGTAGATGGCGTGACCGCGCTTTTCTGAAGCACAGATGGCGTGACCGCAGTATCATCTGAGACCATCACAATTATTGCAAGCAAATTGTGAGGGAAAACCAACCTTTCAAAGCATTGGTTTTATACCCTCAAACTTAGTTTATTGTTTATAAGCACACTATGTTGTTCGTTATGCTAATGTGCGGTGGTCATTTGTTTTTGAAAGAAGAAATATGAGTAGCCTAGGCTGTCAAGCAAAGCATTTCTCTTCCTTATCGTGTATGTCAGTCGTGCGCAATAATATAACAAGATAGTACATATTACAGTAAATGTGAGAGCGAGATTGCTGGAATATTACCTAGTGCAACCTGCCCATTGAAGACACTAGCATCGTCGTCACGCTGTTAGCTTAGTTTATTCGCTCATGCGCACTTGAGTTTGTTTTCTAGTGCGGATCGATCAACATCCCTCTGTTGACAACGTTTCCAATAATTTATGGCACTTTTTCATTGAGGAATAGTAGTTCCTGAATAACATTAGAGTTAAAAACATCTTCAACATTCATATCGCCAAAAATGTCCGATATAATTCTTTATACTTTTAATTTAAGTTGTGTTTTACAATGGATGTGATAACTTCACATTTGAAATTGAATAACATTTTGGAAACCGCGCTGATGGTAACCATCAGCACACAACTAAAAATATTATTTTGTAAACATCCTCGTGTTCATGGTTTATGAAGTACATCTACATATGAAGCAGTGTGAATTTCTATGAGGCAAAAGTCCACCTGTGCTCATCTTTATAGCCAATAAAACGGCATGAGATAAGCGTCCGTCTCAAAGGTCTATTTTCGCACATTAGCTATCGCTCACTAATGCCTGATGGGAATTTGATTCAGTCAGAACAAAGGGAGTCGTCTTCGATATTCCTTTATTGATCCATCATCTAACAAAAAAAATGGATTTTAGGCCTAAAGAATCTTCTGCTGTTTTCTTTCTCCTGCTTATTTTCACACTCAGCAAGATCAGTGAAGCACAAAGTAAGTGATGAACATTTTTAACTGAAAAATATGACATAATCAGATCTTTTGTATAAAATAAAACAGTTAAAAACATAAAAATCCCCAGTGATTGATTTGAGAGACGACAAGTACACTGCGGAAAAACATGTAGGTTTAGGATCAGATATGAAGATTATTTCCAAAACTGGAATGAAGAAGACTATTCTTGTTATAAAGAAAATGTTAGGCTAATATTTCAAGTTGTAAGAATTCGTTTCAAGCTGTGCTAGTTATGGTTAATTGAACATCAAGGCAATTTTATTTTTTAAGAACAAGACTTGATTCAGGAAATTTGTCGATTTTATTATAACAATTTACAATCATACTGAGTGATCAAATAGCATCAATCCTAAATCTTTTACACATTTTAATAACAGTAGTGATGTTTTATCTGCATATGTGTTACTATCGATACATTTAAAAATGCTTTGCAAATTCTTAAACTAAAATTACTCTTATTATAGACACAATTTGAAAAGTTATTTCATACTAAGTATACTACAACTTAATTTACTGACATCGCTTGAGACTTACTGATATAAATATTAGAATTAAACTTTAATTGGAGTAATTCTTTATTGCACAATACACATTTCTTAATAGTAAGCCTAAAATGTGTTTTAATATCACTATTAGTAAGGACAGTATGATTTCTGTATAATATCAGTCTTTAAATGCAAGAGATTTAAAGTGTACCTAAAGCATACTAGTTCCACTTTAGCACAATCAAATAAACTTAAGTATATCTTAAGTTGGACTTCAGCACTATTTCCGGATAACTAAAGTACATTAAGTACTAAATTAGTTCCAATTCCGCTGACTATAAGTATACCAATTTAGTAAGTACAATTGCAGGTTATTTATATTAAGTACATAAATATGTATAGTATACGTAACATAAAGTAAATGTATTTCAAATACATTTTAGTATATTTATTTTTCACTAGGCTATTCATGACTATTAATTCTGAATTTCCTTTTCTCTGAATGGTACAGGCCTTTGCTCGGCAGGTCCCGTAAGTTTTATTAAGGAAAACAACCCTGTTAATGCCATAGTTACACCAATCACCGTTGAGGACGGTGTGGCGGTCAGAATCACTAGTCAAGTTCCAGAGGGTCTCTTCAGCCTTGACGGAAACAATCTCATTGCTGTTACTGTGCTGGACTTTGAGGTTAATATGAAGAGTCTGTTGTTGTGTTCCACCATTACACTCTAAATGTATCATTTACAATAATTGTTTTCAGGGGTGTAAAGTACAAAAGTACGTACTACTCAAATCACCTTTTATACCTTTTTAACAGCCAGTGAAATACTTTTCATTTAAAAATGTACTTAATTCTCATGAAGAAATGTCTTTGCACTCACCGGAATCAGAGACTTTGAGCTAAACTGTTGTGTTTTGGTTGTTTTCTCACTTAAAGTGCCCCTATTATGCTATTTTAAAGTTTCCTAATTTTGTTTTGGAGTCTCCTACAACAGGTTTTCATCCATCAAAAGTAAAAAAAAACAGTTTCATTTTCTCATAATATTCTCAGGCATTATGCTACCTGTGTCCTCATTTACATTTAAAAGGAACCAATTTGCCTAAAGTACTCAAATTAACAGACTTTTTATGTTATGTGATTTTCGTAGACATTTGACAAAGACAGACCTCATGAGGTGCGTGTTGAGTGTACAAAAGTTGATTCTCCTTCTGTAAGTAATGGTGTTTTATTTAAATTAACCTAGAAAATTCCTTCTTTCAAATGTTTGCTCTTGAAGTAAACTCCTGCATGTCAAATCTGTATCTTGTAGACTACACTGACTCTGAAAATAATCGTTGAGGATGTGAATGATAATCCACCAGCGTTTGCAGAGAGTCAGTACTCACTAAACGTCGATGAGGTACAATGTCACGATCCTGTTATACATCCTTTGCTGATGAACTTTTAATCCTGCCTTTGTTGTACAATTTACTTTAATCATGTTTTTTATCTGCTTTTATCTCATGACCCTTTTCAAAATCTGAAACCTTTTAATGATTTTTGTAGCTATTAAAATTGGATACCAGTGTTGGCCTAATCACAGCAACCGATCCTGATGAAACTGATAGACTTTACTACCGTCTAGATTCTCCTGAGGTACGCAACAAAAAATCCCAAAGAATGTGTATAGAGTTTGTATAGATTGTTTTTCATGGTAATCACAACTGTCCGGTTGGGAACTATGTGTTCTGAAATATCTACATTTTGAAAATGTTGGTTCCAAATTATTATTGAAATTCCACTAGGAATCCTTTTCACGGTCAAATCTGTCTAGTCAAAAACGAGCGATTCTCTCTGAAACAAGGCCTTTGTTCTCTCTCAGGGAGAATTCGGCCTCCAGGCTGATTTCAATCCCAACATTCTGGTGAAAAAACTTCTGGATTACGACAAAGTAAAAAAAATCACAATGACGCTATATGCACAGGTGAGTTGGTTTGACCTAGGTTTAATTTCCAAAGATGCTTGTTTTTGTACAAACAACTTTCATTTGATGATATTTCAGGACACGCAGATTGGATCTACAGCAGAAGTCTCCCACACGGCCTCAACCACCATTGAGGTCAATATCGTAGACATTGACAATCGTCCACCGTGGTTCCAGCCCTGTACAGAAATAGATTTTGCCACAAGCAAAGTGTGCATGAACTCTGGTTATGAAGGGACAGTCAACTTAAATGAGCAAGAGGTGGGTATCAGTGAGTTTCTCAAGGCCAATTCAAACTGCCCCAACAAACACCAACACGTCACACTTTATAAAGTTGGAAACTTTATACAAAAAAGTCAATATTCATTGGGGCATTGTGATTTAGCCTAAAGTGGTGGACTGATCTTGAGTTAGATGAGCATATGAATGTTTTTGTACACCACAGGCAGGTCCTTTGTCCTTGAAGCCAGGTCCAGTCGTGGCCATTGATGGAGACAAAGGCAAGAACGAGGTCATTCGTTACACGTTTCTTGAAGGTGAGTTTAAAGTCCTCATGGGTTGAAAAAAATAATGTATGTCACTCCGGGAAGAGTCGACAGGTTTTAATCAGTGACTTTTCATTGTTTAGACACTGCTGATCCTATATTTCAAATCAACATTGACACCGGGAGCATCACGATGCTGAAACCAGTTGGGGAGGCAGGACCGATTGTTCTTACAGTCATGGTGAGATTAAAAAATGGTGTTTTGAATGTTACATGCAATCAAAAACTTAATTTAGGAACCGCAGTATATCTTCTGTACACTCAGTTCTTTATTGGCATTAATGGTTCCATGAAGAACCTTTTTTCATAGTAAAAAAAGTTTCTCTAAATTATTAAATTGTTCTTCACACTAAGAGAGAGAAAAAAGGTTCAATGCTCACTGAAATGTTCTTTGGGGAACCAAAATGGTTCTTCAATGGAATCACTGGGAAAATCTTTTGGGAACCTTTATTTTTAAGATTGCAGTTGCTTTCCAAACCAAATTTCCCTGGTTTCCTTAGGCATATCAGAAGGAGAACCCTGATCAGTTTTCCACCACCACAGTCATCCTGAAGGTGGTGATATCCAGCAACTACCCTCCGAAATTTGTGAAGCCAAGTTACGAAGGCTTTATCTCAGAGGACGCAGGTGTGGACAGCCTTGTGCTGGAGAGCAAAACATCCAACAGACCCCTCCGAGTCCAGGCTACCGATGAAGACTTTTCTAATGTAAGAACTCAGAGACAAACAGCATTCTGGTCTGTGCATGTGTTTGGGAAGTTAGTCCAGATCAGGGGTGCCCAATCCTGCTCCTGCCGATCGACTGTCCTGCACAGTTCATCTCCAACCCTAATCAAACACACCTGAAGCAACCAATTAAGGTCTTCAGGATCATAGATATCCATAATAAAGGCTAGATGTCTCGTCCGCGCTGCTGGCCAATGGAGGTCGACGTCCGCACCTGGCGGCCATCTTGTCACAGGCAGCTCGCTCACTCGTAACATTGTGTTTTAATGGTGCATGTACTTTTTAAACTTTGTACTTTTCAGAGATGTAGTTATGACACTGCACACTTATGAATAATAAGTGTATCAATAAATAATCATCCAGAAGTATAGCCACGTTAATAACGTTTGTAAAAAACCAAACCGTTTGTAAATCCGTCAAGATTTCAACGAGATAAGAGTATTTGTGTTCGTGCTGATCACTCATCTTACATCAGAGAGCCCGCCAGAAAGCTTGCCTGTGACAAGATGGCCGCCGGTGATGACGATAGAGACTTCGCCGTAAGACATCTAGCCTTTATTATGGATATTCAGGATCACTTGAAAATTAAAGGCAGGTGTGTTTGATTAGGGTTAGAGATGAACTGTGCAGGACAGTCGATCGGCAGGAGCAGGATTGGGCACCCCTGGTCTAGATAATAGAAAACACAGCATCAATAGTAAAACATGAGAATAATTAATTTTTGTAAATCATTCCAAAACCATTCATACATTGGTATTCATAAAACCATTCTTATGAAAATTCTTGGATTGCATTGAATAGTTAAATTTCAAAACACATTTCATTGAATCATTGTCATGTTGCCATTAATTATTGTAAAAAAAAGAAAAGAAGAATTTTATTGAATCGTCTCATTCAGTTCAGTTTTTCAATTCTTAGACTGAACTGAATAGTTTCTAAAACAATTCTAACAAATTGTTGCACTTAATATTACATTGTTTGTAAAACTGTCTCATTACTGTTGCATTAATTTAAATGTTTGTAAAACAATTCTTACATAAATTCTTGATTCATAAAACCATTCTCAGTCGCATTGAATTAAATGATTCGTAAACCCACTCTTGACTAAATTGTTGCATTCAATTCGATGTTACAATTCACTTAAGAATGGTTTTCGATTGATTCACACACGTTTTCTGCTCAGGTTTTATTAATGATGCCCAGTGTGGTCATATTTCTGGTGTAAACAGCTGGATTTCTGTCTTTGTAGGGCTATAATCCTGACATCAAATTTGAGGTTGTAGACGGTACTGATTTTTCAATCACACCAGAGGGTTTCATACTCATGGCCAAGACGGTTACCCCTGGCACTGTGAATTTACAAGTAAGAACTTAATATTTCATACAATTGACATTTGCTAATCGTTTGTGTGAGATTTGTAATATATATGACTATGATTCAATGTGACTCAGATGAGGGTGTTTGACACAAACAATGATGAATCCAGCACCGCTTCTCTTACGGTTGAGGTCACGCAAGGTAAGACCAGCATGTTATCAAGACAACACCTCATTATAACAGGGATAACTGACCGTGGCTAGCAGGGTGTGGGCTAATCATGGTGCTTCTTGGAGCTCCTGGCTTGTGTGGATATCTCTTTCTAGAGTTCAGCTCAATCCATTGAAGAGAAACATCAATAAATAGTTTCATGCGATTGATTTGGTCCATAAATTGAATTTCAAAGATTCACTTGAATCAGTCAACAGCAAACCTCTTGAATAGATAGTGACACTCTTTTTTCTACAGGGGTTCCCACTACCACACCGGTCACTACTATCATGACTTCGTCCATCATAACAACAGATCAGACCACTGACACACAGCTAACAGCCATCCCCTCCACCGCCACCTCCACCTCTCACCCTGGTCCTAACACAACTTTGCCCCCCAGCACAGGTACACTTATGCTAATCTAACTAGCTTTGCTAAATCTTCTATGGTCAGTTGCATAAACTTAAGGAGAGTTCACTCCATGTCAGACTTACCTCAATTACAAGCGTTCACGTCCTCTTACAACTCGTAATTGCAACTTGTAGAGTTACACTATTTTGAGCTTGTCCACTTTTGACCACTTTCAGAGGTAGTTGAAAACGCATTAGACCGGATTGCTTTCGTAGTGTAAACGCTCATGTGGTCGAATGTGTTCAAACAGCCACAAAAGACCGTCTTCTCTCCGTCTACTGATCTAATGAGTAAACATTATGGTAAGAATTCTAGCCAGACGTAAAATGTACATTAATTTACCCGCCCACAGACCCTCCCCTTGAAGAAATCAGGACAGAAGTGGTTGAAAGTGGACAAAAGTGACGGATTAAAACAGCAGGTGTAAACGGGAATGTGTCTCCCTCGTCTACTTGTGATCCAATCAACCAAAACACATCTTTATACCAGCTTTACAGGGCCTGAGGATGTGAACAGCTCTGAGTAGAACGTCATGTTATTACGACATGGCGTGAAAGCAGCATTAGTTCGAACTATTTTCAAATTCATATTAGACCTAGGCTATTTACTTTTTTATGTAACTGACTTAAAAATCTTAAATAAGAACAATCTTATTGTTCTTAGTAAGAACAATTACAATCTTAAAGAAAAAAAACGTGATGACTAACTTGTAAGAATTCTAGAAGCATTTTATCCACTGGTGCCATCACATTTGCACATAATAAAACTGATTTAAAATATTCATGAATGTATGCCGGTGCAAATCACATGAAATTTACTGAATCAAGTTTGCATGTTTTATGCTGTTGGACACTTTTGGATGCTGGCTATTAAGGGTGTGCGAAAAAAACATAAAGCATGCAATTCAAAATGATTGAAATTCCAGCTAAATTAAGCTAAAGCAGTTTGTCTACCATTCTTGAAAACCAAATAAATGTTTACCGTAATCATGCCAAAAGCAGTGTTTCTGTGCTCTTGTGCTCAGGAGGACAGCAGGGGAAAGCAGGAGAGTACAGTGCTGGGGAAATGGCGGCTGTAGGGGCGAGTTTGGCTGTGGTTCTCCTTCTCTGCTTGGTTGGCATTGGAGTGATGGCGCATCGCATCAAGGGCCATAACGCAGACTGGAAGAAGCTTTCCGAGGCTAGCATCTTCCGTAGCTCAGTGAGTTTCCATTCTCTTTAATCAAAACACAAAGACATTTTAGGAATGTTCTGTTTAGAATGATTGTTGATTAATGTCATCATTAATGTAAATTGTCATACTGAATTGTCAGATTGAATAGTAAAATCGAATGTATTCGCATTGAATTGAAACATCTGTAAAACCCATCTTACGTAAAATGTCGTACTGATTAGTTAGTTGGTCAGAGCATAAACTATATGATAGATAATGATAAATATTCTAACATACATTTTTCTGATTGAATTGAATAGTTCATAAAAGCATTCTACACTGTAAAGCAATATATGATCAATAAGTTATGACAACATATGTTTTTACATTGCTTTAACTCATCAAAATAAGTTCATAAAATTTACAAGTCATACAAGATTCAACTCAATTTTTTAAAGTCAGTTTAATGGAATTTAAGTTAAAAATTCAAGTTGATTGTGCTTAATTTAAGGCAGCAAGTTTTTTCCCCCCTGCCACATTGAATCAAATCAGTTGTAAAACCCTTCTAAACATAAACTGAAATTTTCAAATGTTCATAAAATCGCTCTTAAGTAAATGTATTTTCGGTTTGAATTGCAAAAATAGTTCATAAATGTATTGATGTAAATACAAACTGAATCAAATTCTAACATAATTGGTAACATTCAATGCTCATAAAACCATTCTTGTGTAAAATCTTGGATAAATCTGAACCGTTCCTAAAAGTTATATAAAAGCATTCTCGTAATTTGCTCTTACGTTAATTGAATTCAGATTGAATTGAATAGTTAATCGACCCATTCTAATTGTCTCATTCCAATGTTCATAAAACCATTCTTTCGTTCATTTTCAGATAGAATTGAACAGTTCGTAGAAGCATTTTCACGTTAATTGTCAAATTAAATTAAATCGTTCACAAACCTATCCTTACATTTCCAGATTGAATTGCAAAAATAGTAAATAAATGTATTCTCATGTAAATGTAATCAAATTCTCATATAATAATAATAATACATTTTATTTGTAATGCGCCTTTCTCAGTCTCAAAGCGCTACAACATGAACAGAACAAAATAATCAAACACGAGAATAAAAAAAAAAGAAAGTTATATATATATAATTGGTCACATTCAACGTTCATAAAACTGCAATTGCGTTACATCAAACTTTATGAAGACAATTTTTACGAGAACTGTCCCGCTGGTTTAGACCAGTTTGAACCGGCTTGAATTCCAATATGAATTTTCAAATGTAAATATATTTGTAATTTGTTCTAGAGTCTAAATGTTAATGATAATACTTCTAGAGCATATTTATTTATAGTATGTTTTGTTTTCGCAGCTTGGTGGGGGTTCAGGTGGTCCTAAGGAGGGTATGCAGTACAGCAACGAGGGCTTCCAGCATGACGGGGATTCTGGAAGTGTGAACTCGAAGTTAGCTGCACACCTGGAGAATAAACTGGAGTCTGGGCTGAGAAGCGGGCCAGCGCAGGAGAACATGACCCGCAGCGCCGCCCCCGTTCCCCACACCAGCACCAGTACTCCACCCGACTCCAGCAGCCTGGCTGATTCAGAAACCGTCGACGGCGAGAAGGAAGTCAAACCGATCCTGACCAAAGAGCGGCGCTCTGAGGAGGGCTACAAAGCGGTGTGGTTTAAGCAAGACATCGACCCCAACACCAAAGAGGACGTGGTCATCATTCCCGACACTGGTGAGCCGGAGGGAGACCAGGAGGAAGATGACGACAGCGAGGATGAGGACAACATACTGACTGATGTAGATTCGGAAGATGAGGAACTTTGACATGGATGCTTTCCTTTTTCATATTCCTTTCTGTTAATAAGTCTGTAAATATGTTTCACAAAATGAACATAATTTTCAGTATCTAGCAAAACGAAGTCAACATGAAATCAAAACAGACCCTGTTTGCTTTATATATATATACACACATATATTTTATATTTACAAACTTTTATGGAAGATGCGTTTAATCGGGATTCATCAATTTGACAGCACTATATGTTCCTGTTTTTTTGTGTGAATGATTCATCAGAGCACATTATTCTCAAGAATATAATAACTTAATATCAATCAGAAATACATTGAATTATGGAAGTAAAATGGGGTGTGAAATGTTTCATGTACTCTCATGTAACTCTCATTAGAGTATTAGTAGACTGATAGGTTAGAAGAATAAGTTGACGTACTTGTGAAGTTACTTATTGTCAGTAGAAGGTCTGTTATGGAGCATCAGAATAAAGTGTTAGCAGATGTTAAGCAGACAGTCTAATACTCTAGTTGACATGTAATTGCAAAGTTATTTATAATTAGTAGAATGTCTACTAAAAAGTTTTTTTCTTTCACTGTAAATTGTTTGATGTTAGTTCTTTGTAGAAATTACTTTCAAAACATGAACAAAAAAAATTTGAATAATAATAGAATAAACTCTATATTTACTTACAGCCAGAGTCATTTGTCATTTTTACACCACAGGTATTACCAAATGCCAAATAATGAGTTTATCTTTAGTTGACTGCACTGGCGAAAGCATTTATGAATTCACTACACTGATAATCAAATCTGTGGCCAGGTGGCGAGACAATTGCTATAAAAACATTTTGACGTAAACTGTTTTATTTGTGTGTTTGTGACATTGCAGTGGACTGCTGCCCTTTCACATAACACTGATCATAAATTATGTTTTATAATAACTTAGATAAGCTTTAATGATTAACTTGAGAACTGTCACAGCTGATGCGCCTGTAAATGCTATATTGTTAGTTTGCATGCCGTTATATAATCTATACGTCAAACAAACACACTGAAACAGATCTATACAAGTTAATCTGACAAAATAGTTACTTGTTCTTTTTTTGGACCAATACGTTTTCGTATTGCACTGGTTAATTAGATCTCAGACTAATGAAAGTGAATCTAAAGAGGCTCAACTTGATTGTTCACTGATAGCTATATCCCAAAATGAGCCTTGTTTTGGATGTACCACAGTGATACCATAGTATAGTTTGAAGTACAATGGTATCAAGTCATAGTAAGTTTTTGTAAGGGAGAACAGATCCATCTTCAGGGACAACTGTCTCAAAACAAAGAACAAAAGCTCATCTGATAAAAAAAAGTGATGAGAAAGAAAATCCTTCAAGAACGAAGTGCACTAATTAAATTACCTTGACAGTAAGAATGCGCTAGGGTTTAATTAATAGTAATTAAAGGGTTATGTTGCGTTGACGGCATGTCAATTAACGAGATGACAACATAACGTTCTCTTACGAGAGGTTCTCTCGAATTGCGTAAGCTAGCTTACGCTACGGGAAAGATTAATCCTTTCTGAAATATTGAAGCCAAAAAATTATCCTTAATTTTGTATCCATTGTCAACGCAGTGCAGCAGCTGCAGACCTTGAGCGGGCTAGCTAGCGAGCTCATTGGTTGCTCTGCGGCAACTGCTGCAGCCTATAGATGAACTGAATGAACTCGCGTCCAATGAGAGGCGCTCGCGCCTTCATCGCGTCACAACCTGCCAAACTGGGCTATTCTGCCGCCGAGAAGGGCTATTCTTCCATCCCCCCGGTCGAGGATTCGGTTGCAGCGCACCTTTGCCCGCCCTCCGCAAGATGGCGGTCTAAGCCCGCGCTCCCGTCTAAGGCCTGCAGAACTACTTCCGCTTGTGTTGGCCACGCCTATGCCGCCGCCGGCCAAGCCGGATCCCCTCTGCATTCCATGGCCGTCTTGCAGATCCTCCAAGCGGACCTTCTTCGGGAGTGGGATGAGAAAAACAGGCACCCAGAGGCTGTGTCAGACCTAAGGAGCGCAACGGATCTCTCCCTTCGCGCCACAAAAGCTGCAGCTCAAGCCCTGGGAAAGTGCATGGCCTCGCTGACTGTGACCGAGAGACATCTGTGGCTAACGCTTGCCGACATGGGAGAAACTGAACGCGCCACGTTCCTCAACGCGCCGCTCTCTCCTTCCGGTCTCTTCGGTTCCGCGGTGAGTGGCATTATTGATCGCTTCTCGGAAGTCCAGAAAGCCACCCAAGCCATGAACCTTTTCCTGCCTCGTCGCGCTAGCTCCTCTGCAGGCCGCCCACGTGACCAGCCTCCTGCACGACCCCCTTGACAGCGCCCAGCTCAGCACAGCCAGACTTCTCAGCGTCGACAGGGCGCCTTTGATCGCGCTCAGACAGCCGCCGCAGACCGCCGACCCCCCCCCCGCGGGCCTCGGCCTCGGATCGCGCTGAAACCTGAGAAACCGAAATCTTCCTAGCTACGTTGAGAAAACGACGGCTCAGTCCCGCCGCGGCCGGACCACCGTCGAAGCTTCGCCCCCTGTCAGTCCCCTTCTCTCAGGCTACTGCAGTGGTGTAAACAGCAGCCAACAAGCCGGTGATACTACCCGCTTGCCTGCACCCAAACGCCGTTTTTACGGCCACCCAGGGAAATCTCTTAAAGAGCAAACATGCCTTATGTGTAGAAAATGTGCCCACAACCCAGTGTTAACCCCTACACACAAGCATTACACTACCCGTGTCCCTATCAGAGCCCACTCCCATAAAGCGGGCACAGCCCGCTCGAGTGTTAGAGTCAATAAATGCGCCCACGAGCCCGTGCGCGCGCCCCCCTCTCTGCCCGGTCTGTCACACGGCCAGCCATCACCCCTCTGTATGTAAGTCCCGTGCCCGTGACTATGCTCGCGCATCACTTAACAAATGTGACTCTTTCCCCATTCACCTCAATCGGGAAGTCACTCACAGAACAGCCTGTTCCTGCTGTTTGCGAGCCGTCATGCATAAGCACAGTAAGCGCGCTCACACATTCTGTTCAGCTCGCTGTGTGCGGCAATCAGGGCGATTTGGCCATTCACCCTCTGGCGCTACGCTTCAAAGCGTGGGAAGCTATCCCAGGAATATCCAAATGGGTGTTAAGCACGATAACACAAGGTTATTTGCTACAGTTCGATCACCGCCCTCCCCGCTTCCGAGCGCGGCTCGAAACGACTGTGAACACGGCAGCAGCCTGCATGCTTCGTTCAGAAATAGCAAACCTTCTGTGCAAAAGGCCCATAGAGAGAGTGCCGCCTTCTCTGAGCGAGTCGGGGTTTTACAGCCGTTATTTTCTTGTTCACGTGCTCCAGGGGGACTGGTTTATTTCTCTCGGTCTGAAAGTGCCTACTTTCAGATTCAGATAAATCCCTGTCACAGGCCATTCTTGAGATTCGCCTTCGACGGTCAGGTTTATCAACACACCGTCCTTCCGTTCGGCCTGTCCCTAGCACCCCGTACTTTCACGAAGGGCATGGATGCGGCGCTCGCACCCCTGCGGAGCCAGGGCTTGCGAATATTGAACTATTTGGACGATTGGCTGATTTTGGCACAATCACACACGGAGCTGCTGTCTCACAGGACAGTTCTCCTCAGTCATCTGAACAGCTTGGGTCTCACAATCAATTGGACCAAGAGCTCACTACAGCCCAGTCGAGCGATTTCCTTCCTTGGAATACAACTAGATTCCGTGGCTATGATGGCTCGCTTATCAACACAGCGCGCGCCGTGTTCAGCGACTAGCCGCATCTTTTCAAATGAACAACCTCACGCCTCTGAAACTATTTCAGAAAATGCTAGGTTACATGGCCTCAGCCTCAGCAGTACTCCAGCTGGGTTTACTGCGCTTGCGCCCGCTTCAACATTGGCTAAACACCCGCGCATTTCGCCAGGCTTGGGGCACAGGCCGCCAGCCGATCAGAGTGACTCAGACCTGTATCTCAGCTCTGCAGCCCTGGACAGTGGCCGAATGGTATTAGCGGGGAGTGATGATAGGAGCTGTATCTTGCCGAAAAGTCATCTCGACAGACGCGTCGAACACGGGTTGGGGCGCGGTCTTGCGAGGGCTCACCGGTTTTTGGCCTATGGTCAGTTCAGGAAAAGCTCCTTCACATAAATTGTCTGGAAATGATAGCGGTCGAGTATGCGCTCGTGCGCTTCCTCCCGATCATTCAGGGTCACCACGTCCTGGTCCGCTCGGACAACAGATCTGTGGTATCCTATCTAAACCGTCAAGGCGGTGTCAGGTCCATGAACCTCTTCCATCTGACAGAACGCATACTGAGTTGGTCCCAGTGCCATCTGCGCTCGCTGAGAGCGACGCATGTGCCGGGCCACCTGAACGACGGCCCAGACAGACAGTCCAGAGACAATATTCCCCCAAGGGAATGGTCCCTGCACGCGCTAACAGTCCAGATGTTATGGCGCCTATTCGGCAGAGCAGAGATAGACCTCTTTGCGTCAGAGGAGAACTCTCACTGCCCAGTATTTTTCTCGAAAAGCGAGGACGTGCTGGCCCAGGCCTGGCCCAACCGCCCGCTTTACGCCTTCCCTCCCGTCTCGGACCAAATGACTCCAAGGTAATTTTAATTTTTGTCCCCAAGGTGATCGGTACTCCTTTCAGAGCGCAGATCATTTCCCTATCGGCTCTGCCAACATCCGATAGCGAATGTGACGCCAATCTCCTCTGGCCTGTGAGAGCACTGAGATTGTTTACTGCGCGCTCTGCCTCTTTCAGACGCTCTGAGCAGCTTTTCGTTTCGTTCGGAGGGCGCACCAAGGGTCTCGCTGCCTCGAAACAGACACTGTCTAGATGGATAGTGGACGCTATTGCTGCTGCGTACGCGTCAAAAGACCTGCCATGCCCGTTAGGCATTAGGGCTCACTCCACTAGAGGCATGGCCTCCTCGTGGGCGTGGTCCAGCGGGATTTCCATTCACGACATGTGTGGCAGCGGGCTGGGCTTCCCCCTCCACCTTTGTCAGATTTTACAATCTGGAAGTGCCCGCCCTGCAGGCAAAATTACTAGCGGTCTAATACGCTACAGCTCTCCTGGTGAGCTGCACTGATGGGAAACTTTCCACAGACCGACACTGCCACTCTGTCTCTCTTCCCACTACGTGCTTATGTATTACATACACACTGGTCCGCACTCTTGTTGGCCAAAATGCTTTTCCCCACTCATAGGGCTCCCCGGGGTTCTCCCCCTGGGCTCATGCTGTGGATGCTTGGCGCGCACGGCGTTGACAATGGGTTCCCGTAGCGTAAGCTAGCTTACGCAATACGAGAGAACCTCTCGTAAGAGAACGAATCGGTTACCTAACGTAACCTCGGTTCTCTCTAGATGAGGGAACGAGTATTGCGTAGCCGGCCGTGCTGGCGCCACGAGCGTTTTTCGCTTCATTCTATGAAAACCAGGGATGCAGCCTACGAACCTCGCTTATATACACTCTAGCCACGCCCAGTTTGGCGGGCTGTGACGCGATGAAGGCGCGAGCACCTTTCATTGGACGCGAGTTCATTCAGTTCGTCTATAGGCTGCAGCAGTTGCCGCAGAGCAACCAATGAGCTCGCTAGATAGCCCGCTCAAGGTCTGCAGCTGCTGCACTGCGTTGACAATGGATACAAAATTAAGGATAATATTTTGGCTTCAATATTTCAGAAAAGATTAATCTTTCCCGTAGCGTAAGCTAGCTTACGCAATACTCGTTCCCTCATCTAGAGAGAATCGAGGTTACGTTAGGTAACCGATTCGTTCTACTCTGAGTTGAATTATGCATTTCTATGGCAACACTATCAACTGTGCAGTCAGGTGGTACAAGTCAGAGCTCTCAGAAAATGTGTAGAAAATGTGTAGTTACGAGTTCTACGAGGACATGAACGCTTTTTTACTAATTCGGTAATTCCGACATGGAATGGAGGTAGGCCTATATGCATTTTATAGTTAACTAAAACCATAAACAGTTTTGTTTACTGAAATGAAATAAATAAATAAAAAAACCCTAAACTTTATTACCGTAAACTAGCTGCCAAAACAACAGTTTTCTTCTGTGGTGAATCCGATAATTTGCCATCCTTAAAGGGATAGTTCACCCAAAAAATTAAAATTCTGTCAGTAATTACTCACCGCCATGTTGTTCCAACCCCGTAAGACTTTCGTTCATCTTCGGAACACAAATTAAGATATTTTTGATTAAATCTGAGAGCTGTCTCACTCCTCCATTGGCTTCTATGTTATTGAAACTTGCCGGCCTAGAAAGGTTAGTAAAAACATTGTTACAATAGTCCAAGTGACTACAGTGGCTCAACCATAAGTTTATCAAGCGACAAGAATACTTTTTGTGCTTAAAAACAAACAAAAATAACGACTTTATTAAACTATTCATTTTCTTCTCTGTGGGCCTCTGAGTTCACATAAGTTAGTGTAACAGCGCAGCGCTTCTGTGTTGTACGTCAGAACGTAGGCTCACTATTGGCCGATGCTGGTCATGTGTGTGATGCGTGTGAATAAAATCCAGTCAAAAGCAATAAACAATTTTTAATTTAAATATTCTCTTACTGGTTCAATATTGCAAGGACTCCAGAGTGACAGGAAGTTTTATCAAAAATTAATACCAAAATCCTCTGAGATCATTTGTGTCACTGCAGGTTTTTCTTGTGTTTCTATGAAAAGAGAGAAGCCACAACTTACAAGAATTGACTGCTGAGAATGTATGTTTCCACAAACACCAGTGAAATATACAAAAATATAATGTGACCAATCAAAATTGGTATTCCAGAGAGACATTTAATTATTCAGAACATTACATAAGAGATTTTAATGAACATTAAAGTAGACAGCATGTCTTATTGTGAACTCAATCTTGCACTGCACTTGCAAAAAACATCTCGATTAGATTCTAGTTTAAATGGAAGCAAGTTCGTGAGGTTCACGTTATAAAATGTATTCTTACGAACTTTAAGAAGCTGAATGAGCGCTCACATATCTTAGGCAACAATGTGTCACATCTTTGGTAGATAAAAGCTCATTCACTCCTGTAGTTCTGGGTCAATCTGACCTGCTTTTATTAAAGGCCCTTCAGAGAATGAATGACAGCGGATTTGGAACCAAGACAAAAGGTCAATAAACCTCTGAAAAAATAACAAGCTGGGGGAAAAGATGTGTGTTTGGCATGAAAGATCTAACATTGCCCATTTGATGCGGTTTTATTCTGGAGAGTAAGAAAGGCTCCATAATTGTTTCATTGTTCGGGTCTGGACATGTCCGGTGGACTGCTTTGGGCTTTCAATGGCACTTTACAAGCAAAATCAAGGGTGTATCCTGGCAACTGGGGATTTTAAACAGCTTTAAAACTTGGGGAAAGAATATATATTGGGGTAAAGCTACTGAACTTCGGAATGATGGGAGCATGCAAACGGCAAGACTGAGCTACTGAACGGCACATTTAGAAATGAAACGGATGCCGATCTAAAGAGGTGAGTGTGTTTGTTATATTACTCCAATGGAACTCAATTTATTCAGTTGATGCTAATTTAATAGGGTGAGCTGGAATTTCTCTGCTGGACTGATGGTTTCTCTGAAATCAAATCAAGTTTTCATATGGTTTATTGAAGTACAGGACACATAAAAGCTCTTACATAATGACTTTCGAAACCAATTCAAGGACATGAAGAATGTTTTATTACGTTTTTCAGCTTATAAAATTTAATAATGTACTTTGTCGTTTCTTCTGTGGATATACACTGCCCGGCCAGAAAAAAAAGTCGCTGTTTGGATTTAAACAGGCAAATGCTTAAGATTGGATTATTATTGCAGTGATTATTATGTTTCTAGCATGTTATATGTTTGGCAACAGTTCTTCTATCCCTAATTAATGGAGTGTGTAGCTTTTAATTTCAAAAACAACCATGTAGGAAGACACAACATGATCATATTCCAGGATGACAATGTCAAGATTCATCAGGCTCAAACTGTGAAAGAATGGTTGTGAGGAGCTTGAAGAATCGTTTTCACACATGAATCGTCTCCTCTGAGTCCAGATCTTAAATTCACTGAATGTCTTTGGGATGTGCTGGAGGAGACTCTACAGAGCGCTGGACTCTTGCATTATCAATACAAGATCTAGACCAAAAACCGATGCTCCTCTTGATGGAAATAAATGTCGCGATGTTATTTCCATCAAGAGGAGCATCAAATTTTGGTCAAGATATTGACAATGCAAGACTTAATAGAACCGGGCAACTCTAGGAATATGGTCTGTGAAATTTAACTGATCATCGAGGTTTCTGACTGTCCTTGATGGAGTTATGGATGATGAACCTAGCTCAATTGAGAAGTTGTGATGAAGTGTTGGGTTGGCTGAGACCACAACCAGCACCACACAAGGTTGAGTTGAAGGTGGTGGTCCTTCATCCAGCAAGAAATGTCTGTCAGTCAGTCCTAGATGCAAGCAGCTACCGTCGGATCCTCTGGCTGGAATGAAAGGTAGAGTTGTGTGTCGTCAGCATAACAGTAATGGGAATAAACATGTTTGAGAATGACATGACCTAGTGACGACATGCAGATGGAGAAGAGAAGTGGTCCAAGCACTGAGCCCTGAGGCACCCAAGTAGCTAGATATATTTCCACTTAGACACCTCACCCCTCCACGACACCCTAAAGGACCTGAGAGGAAAGACTTGAACCACTGGAGTGTGGTTTTGAAGATGCCCTTTGTCATTAGGGTTTTACAGGAGGATCTTGTGGTTAACTGTGTCAAAAGACAGATTCAGAAAGATGAGTACTGAGGATTTGGAAGCTGCTCTTGCCAGACTCAGAGCTTGGGCAGTCTCAGTTGAGTGGCCACTTTTGAAACCAGACTGGTTGTTATCCAGGAGGTTGTTCTGTGTGAGAAAGGTAGAGAAAGACAGAATGGTCTCACATTAAACTCAAACGAATGGCGAGACATTCTTCAGCTACTCATTAACTGTTTTGAAGCCATTAACATTGAGTGGAACAACACTGACTCTTCTTCCTGTAAAAATGCTGTCTGCAATTTTACCCACACGGCTTTAACATTTAAAGAAAACAAAGGGGAAGTCTATTCAGTGCCAAGTTACTTTATCTACAGTATTTGTGCAATTCTTGCTAATTTCCTGCCCAGTGATTTGTAATTAAAATGGTTAACACCATTAAAATACCACTAAATATACCGTGTTGCAATGAGTGTAAAAAAAAAAGAAAGAAAAAGGAACACTAATCACTCCATTGCAACACTTGAATGACGAGTGACGTCTGCCTAGACGCTTCACTGACCCACATGGTTTACGTGACGTCAGTGATTAACAACTAAAATACCCAGAATACCTTGTTTTGGCAAAGTTCTACAGTAGCATGTATCCTTTGAAGAGAGAAGATCTCCAGAATGCACCACAACAAGCTCTGTGGACAAAATATATCCAAGATGGCGGATAAAACTTAGAGAAATGTTGATATCATTCAATGCATAGAGAAATGTTGATATCATTCAATACATAGTATAAATTAATATAGTTAAAAAAAGCATATTTGACACAAACATCATGCCATTTCATTTTATAGTTAAGACTATTACATCATCAGCTTAGCAACATGCTCACAGCAAACTAGTTTCCAATATTTTAAGATACTTTAATATATATTTAGGTGCACCTGTAGATGACTTGATGATGGAGCAGGTCATGGAGGGAACGGTAAACATCGCCGCTGCGGTGCAGGGAACGTTACTGGTGCTGATGGGAACGTTACTGCTGATTCTGCTGCACAGAATATTTAGAGCCAAGAACTGGAAGAACCAATCAGCAGTCCCAGGTGAGTTCAAACCAATTAGATTCACTGGGAGCAACCTACCAACTGGTTCCACTAGGTGTGATGTGCTTGGTGTTTGTCAGGTCCTGGCTGGTGGTTGGGTCTCGGCCCGGTTCTGAGCTACAGTAGGTTCCTGTGGATGGGGATTGGCACTGCATGCAACTACTACAACGAAAAATATGGCAGCATTGCTCGGGTTTGGATCAATGGAGAAGAGACCGTTATACTCAGCAAGCAAGTTCTCAAAATCTCATCTGTCTAACAAATTATTGCAGATTTAGACTCTTTATATTTATATAGCCTATATTTTGCGTTAGATATTGATTGATTTCATGAAAAGAAGTCCTGTCCAGATCTGAACTGGTCTTGAAATTTGTTGTTCATTTCATAATTAAAAAAAATTCTCAAGAGCGCACCCTATGGGGTAGACAAATAGTTTTCTGGTACAGTCTGCTACTCCAGTCCATAATGCCCAATTATGTCACTAAGGGTTGACTCAAATGAGGAGTGCCGTGCCATGCATGAGGGCACAATTTTGGAATTGGATGGGGTCAAATTTTAGTGTAAAAAAACTAAAACTGTTTCAGGTCCTCCGCCGTGTATCATGTTCTGAAGAGCAATAATTACATCGGGAGGTTTGCCAGTACTAAAGGTCTGCAGTGCATTGGCATGTTTGAACAAGGCATCATCTTCAACAGCAACATCACACTGTGGAAGAAAGTGAGAACATATTTCACCAAAGGTGGGTGTTATTCACTGGTCTCAGATTAGTTCCTACAGAGAATCATGCAGAATCTATTGTTTATGTATTTGTGTAGCTCTTACAGGTCCAGGTCTCCAGAAGTCAGTAGATGTGTGTGTCAGCGCCACCAACAAACAGCTCGACGTCCTGCAGGAGTTCACGGACTGCTCGGGACACGTGGACGTGCTCAATCTTCTGCGCTGTATTGTGGTGGACGTTTCCAATAGACTCTTCCTAAAAATCCCACTGAGCGGTCAGCCTGCAATAAAAGCATTTGATTGTTATTATTATTCTTTCGATCTGATTGGTCTATTATATCTATTACCAGAGGAGAAGGCTGTAAAACCCTTGATTATGATGTGAAATATATAACCTTGATACTTAAGATCAATGTGGATGACCTTAGAAAGTTATAGATTTTAATATTTCACAGTAGACTCTTAAAAATAAATGTTTTTTATTAGCATCTATGGTTCCATTAACAGCCTTTAACGTCCATCAAATCTTTCCATTCCTCTAAATAACCTTTTTCCACTATAAAGAACCTTTTTGAGCATTAAAATGTTCTTCACACTAAGGAAAGACGGTTCTTTTAAGAAGGTCCATTGAAAGGTTCTTTGGGGAACCAAAAATGATTATTTTATGGCATCACTGAGAGAGAAAAAAACCCTTTTGGAAGCATTATTTAAAGAATGTAAGATCACTGACTTCTCTCTTTATACGTGTTCAATGCAGAGAAAGACTTGCTGATAAAGATCCATCGGTATTTCAGTACCTGGCAGACAGTTCTCATACAGCCAGATGTTTTCTTCAGACTGGACTTTGTGTACAAAAAACACCACCTGGCAGCGTGAGTCCACCTCAGACTTAACTGAATTTATCCTTTGTATATGCTGTGTCAAGGTTTTTTTTTAACCAAAAACAACCATTTTACACTCTCTCTCTGACCTGTAGAAGCGACCTTTTGCAATTTTTGCTACTGCACCTTTAAGGATTATGCAAATAATCTCTACTTTGATTGGTGGAGATTTTTCTATGTGAAATGAGCAAAAACAATTACTTACAGCTTGTGGGTTTGCTGTTGGGTCCATATTGGCACTGCTCAGATTTGTGTAGATCAGGGGTTCTCAACTCTGGCCCTCGAGATCCATTTTCCTGCAGAGTTTTGCTCCAATCCTAATCAAACATACCTTAACAAGCTAACCAAGGTCTTCAGGATTACTAGAACGTTACAGGTAGAAGAGTTTGATCAAGGTTAGTGCTAAACTCAGCAGGAAAGTGGACCTCGAGGACCAGATTTGAGAACCCCTGATGTAGATCGTAGTTTGAACGAATGGTCATTTTCGACAAGTGAATGTTTACAGTTAAAGGTCCTGTGAGGAATTTTTTGCATGTATTCTGGTAACAGCAAAAAAGTTATTTTATCAAGAATTTCGCACATTTGAAAATGATTTGGAGGCCATTTTGAAAAAGGGCATGTGGTTGAAAGGATTGGGTGGTCTAATTTGGTGGCAGAAATCCAGAAATCACTAAAAGCACCATGAAATCTTTTACTTATATATCTAGATTAATCTTCTTTTTTTCATGCATCCCCTTTAAGAAGTATTTTCTTGCAGAAAAGAGCTGCAGGATGAAATGGAAAAGCTTGTGGAGCAGAAGCGACAGGCCATCAATAACACGGAGAAGCTGGATGAGACGGACTTCGCAACGGAGCTTATATTTGCTCAGGTGTGTTCACAAACACGACCTCTTCATTTATGTACCATCTCTTACATTAAAGCAACAGAACGTGTTAACTGTGTCTGTAGAACCACGGCGAGCTGTGTGCGGATGACGTGAGGCAGTGTGTGCTGGAGATGGTGATCGCCGCTCCAGACACGCTCTCCATCAGTCTGTTCTTCATGCTTCTGCTACTGAAGCAGAACTCTGCCGTGGAAGAGCAGATAGTACAGGAGATACGGTCTCAGATAGGTACAGTAAACCTTTCAACCTAATGCAGGTTTAAGGTGGTCAACATGGTGATTGGAACATGGTAGCTAGGCCCAAGATGTTCTACCAGGTCAGTCTTGGCCCCAACAGCTAGTAGTCCAATCTAGACCAATTGGACCAGCTAGAAACCACCAGAAACTGGTTTTAACTGGATTTTCCATAAGAAGTGATACTTTGTGCATGATAAAAGATGTACATCACTACGACTCGTCTTTCTTGTCCTCTCAGGTGAGCGGGACGTACAGTCGGCCGACCTGCAGAACCTGAACGTACTAGAGCGCTTCATCAAGGAGTCTCTGAGGTTCCATCCGGTGGTGGACTTCATCATGAGACGGGCTCTGGAGGATGACCACATCGATGGCTACCGGGTGGCAAAGGGGACAAACCTCATCCTGAACATCGGACGCATGCACAAGTCTGAGTTCTTCAAAAAACCCAATGAATTCAACTTGGAGAACTTTGAGAACAGCGTAAGTACTGGGAGAATCAGATGTTTAAGATCAAATAAGATCATACATAAAGGGTTTTTGTCTGCATAAATTGGTGCATTTGTAGATTTTATACCAATTATTCATATTCTTTCACAATTATCCAAATATGCTGTACATTTTTCCAATAACAGAGTGAACAATACTGATCTGTGAAACCAGGAAATAAGCATATTCTGGAGGGAAAGTGAAAATATAAGTGAAATCTCAAATATCCTTCAAAAAAGTACCATGGTATTACAATGTTTTTTTGACTCTATCTATCTATCTATCTTTTTTTTAGTTTTGCCTTGGGAACTAGCTCAAATAAAACAAGTTTAAGTTGCTTTATATTTTATTTTACTTCAGTTAACAAATATTATATTTCAAGTAATGAAAATGTTTTTTTTTTATTGTTTGTTTTCGTTAATGATAATAACCCTGAGACATACCATGGCAATGATATGGTATTATTTGAACGATGTACCTTTTGATACCATGTAAATGTCCTTACATATGAATGCAGTCATCATATAGGTTTTTTATATATTTTTTTATAAATATGTACTATGGTGATACCTTATAGTTTTCCTTAAAGTAAATACCTTTATATATGAAAATGGTTATTACCATATAATACCATTAACTTTACTATGGTACCATTACTCTACTTCTCTCTCAGGTTCCCAGTCGTTACTTCCAGCCGTTCGGCTGCGGCCCGCGGGCCTGTGTTGGGAAGCACATAGCCATGGCTATGACGAAGGCCATCCTGGTGACTCTGTTGTCGAGGTTCACGGTTTGTCCTCGTCACGGCTGCACCATCAGCACCATCAAACAGACCAACAACCTCTCCATGCAGCCCGTAGAAGAGGATCCCGACTGCCTGGCCATGCGCTTCATCCCACGAGCTCCGAACATCAGCGGAGAAACAACGGACAGCCAAACCTGAAAGCGACAGACGCAAATCACATACTAGTCATTTCTTCCATTTACTATTTTGATATACCGAAGAAAAAAAGTAATTTCCTTTTACCTAAAAGCTTTACACTGGGTCGTCACATTAAGATCACGTTACTATTTTTTTTTTAGGGAATTTGACTTAATAAACACAAACTTCAGTTGAACTTACCTCAAACTTAATGTCGGAAACAAGTAGGCCTGCGGTAAAGTCACACACAGGTAATATATGGATGTCAACATAGATATAATGACTTTGTGCACCTTTAAAGTGTTCTAGATAGTTTAAAAAAGCAAACAAGAAAAGTAGTTTGGCAATGGCAAAGACAACAAAACCATTTGAATGATCTGCTTTATCATGTGTACTGATCTTTACGTTGTACTAATCTACTGTACAGAACTTTAACACGTGTGTTAAGTGATTATAGGAAATAGTTCTAGTATCTTATTTACTGTAGTAAATGTATAGTCTGTATACATCTGTAGTGCTGCATCCAAGCTAACCATGTAAAAGGTCAACATGAAATGGCAATCACATCCTATTTTACTTCCATAATGTGATGCATTTCTGAGTTAAACAGTAGATTCAATGAGAAAAGCAATTGATTGGAGGGTGAAAAGTGGGTGTTAGATAAAAGAACGAAGGAAGGGGCTGAAAATGAGGGCTTGGTAACGTCAATCAAAAAGGAAGATGCTCTAGAGATGAAGGAAGTACATTTTTATGAAAGATTATGATGACTTTACGAATAATGTTCAATTAACCATTTAAAATACGAAAAGTGCCATGAGTTGAGAAAGTAAATGGTCAATTTTTATTTCATATTGTTTTATAAAAATAACCTACAGTAATCATTGTTTGAGGTTGATTATATTATGCATCACTGAGGAGGATCTATTAAATATTAAGAAAATATTTAATAGAACAAATAGTATAAATATTTAATAGACACATGCAATATTTCCATTATTATAAAGATAATAACAAAAGTATTTGATGGCCATGTATGCACTGCTTTTTTTAGAATATGCAAAACTACTTTTTCTGCTCTAACAAATTGTCAAGTCAATAAAATGACACTTTGAAAACAATCTGAAAGCCATATTTCTTTTTTTCCCCCTCGAACAAATAAACACTAAAGAATGAGTATACCAACCAGAACAGACCAAACCACAGGCTGGAAATGTTTAAAATCAATAAATACTTTTTACTATATGTACTTGTAAGTGTGTACAAAAAAATATATATCATTAAAATGATTAGTCAGAGCATAAGACACGCAATACACAGGTATTGCTTTCAAACAGTCATTGCACGACACCTGAAAGCATTTAGTCCGGGAGCTTCCCTGGACGTTTGGCCGGGTGTTTCTGTGTTAGTGTTCTGCGAGAGCTCTCTGGCAGTGGTACATGATGCAGTCTGGGAGAGAAGGATGAGGAGAGCGCAGCCACACGGCCAGAGCCGAGCCGTTCACTCTGCAGTGCAGGAGACAGGGGGCGCCACTGAGCAGACGGCACGCTACGATTCCCTCGGAGCCTGAAAGAGCCACACGCAATTACACAATTGACCGGCTGCATGTTTAAAGAGAGTGTAAATTACAGTCAATTATGGTGCATGTTCAAAATGTAATGTGAAAGGGGGTAAAATAACTGTGGAATGGAAGCTATTGTTGTGTTTACCGATGATGTCCACTACATGTAGCTGTAGGGCGTCTTTGAGAGCGTTCAGGGTGGTTTCGAGCGGGTCACCACCAGCATCTGTGAGCAGTTTCAGATTCTGTTTGACGTCATGAGACAGAGACAGCCAGAGTTTCCCATATTCCTCTGTGGTTACAACCAAAGGCCTGTGTGTGGCAGAGAGAAATTAGTTCATTAAAACAAGTCACAGCCACAAAGCTGCAAACAAAACTAAAATACACTGGAGTGATTTGATGTCATTTGTATTTCACTTTCATTTTATATTTAGTGGAGAAAAAAAAAAAACTTGATTAAAAACGGCATCCTGAAATCTGTCGCAATTTGCACATTTATTTGATCTTTTTTAACGCCGTGCCAGCTTCTGTGGCTATTTTATATGGCGAGAAAAATGTATGGTAAAACTATATCAGGTTTTTACAATTTATTGTTTGCTAAAAAAAATCCTAACTGAGTAAAATTGTATAAAACCAGTACAATCTCATAAAACAGAAAGAACATAGCAATTTGCATGTCTTTAGCCTCACCCACAGAAGTTTATGAAGGATGACATATTTCTTCTACACTTTACATTAAGCAGGTACAATTGTGTATATATTAAGATTATTATAGATAACTAAAACCGTTTCTTATTTTAATTTAGTTTAACTAGATGTGCTAAAATGACTAAAACTAATGTTATTAAAAATGTGATAAAAACACAACAAAATTACTAAATCTTTGTCTAAACAGTATATGTAAAATGTAAATAAAAAAAATCTAAGTAACTAATGCAAAGTATTTACAAAAATTATAATAGTTCCTTATTAATTATTTTAATATCTCATTACGTTATTTATTAATTAATGTATTTATTATAATTACATCTTTTTTATTTTAATTATTAGTTATTTTATTGAAAAACTTACAAGTGTCATTTAGCATTTAGACCATGGATTTAGACAAAATTTTAATTAAATTCTACAAAGGTAATTTTTAGCTCTTAGCTCAATAATTATCTAGTATTAGTATTGGCCAAAATTTAATTACATTTATTTATGCTAATTAAATTCTACAAAGTTAATCAAATCACTTACTCCATTTTTTGTTAGTAATCATTTCTAAATTATTTAATACAAAAATAACCAATGTGTCTTAATTGTTTAATAATAAATAAGTGAGAAAACTACAGTAAGGCATGTATTTTCAGACACACGTTACCTGATAAAGTCCGTTGTGGACAGTGTCCCAGAGAAAGGGAGTGTGTTTGTGTGTCCTGGCTGTGTTTGATAAGAGACGGTCCCGGTAAAGGACACGTGTGTGTGAGGCTCGTCCATCAGCAGAGCATAATGACACACAGACGTACTCTTGCCCTCCAGACAGTCTACGACATTCCCTCTCAAACTGGCCGTCTAGGACAGAAGATTGACATTTTGCATTAAATCTCATATGCTGTCATTATATATATACTGTATATATACACTAGGGGTGGAACGGTACATGTATTCGTACCGAACCGGTACGGGCGTCACGGTTCGGTGCACGAATTTACACGGAGAATACACGGTATAAAAATAAATAAAACTCGCGTGAAAATTAATTAATGTAATGCGGAACTACTGTTATGGTGTGTTCACACCGAACGCGAATTTAATTATTTGCGCGAGTAGATTACAAACAAAGTCAATGCAAAGACGCGAATAGACGCATCATTCGCGCCGGGCGTTGCGAATGACGCGAATTGGGCGACGCGTTTGACGCGAATGTCTTCCGCGCAAGTTGAAAAATTTGAACTCGAGCGAATGTTCAAGCGTCTAACTAGACGCGATAGACGCGTATTTGACGCTCTATTCACGTTCGGTGTGAACACACCATTAGATACGCGGGTTCTTTAGGGACACATAATCTGTACCATCGGCTTAGCTCTGAACGCGCGTTCACTTCAAACGTTGGCTTTATACGCGCGTCCTATTCGCTTTGGACTAGCGTCGAACTAGACGCGAATTTAACGCTCTATTCGCGTTTGGTGTGACCGCATAATGAACAGGCTGCGATGTCAAGATTGCAATGCTGGAGTGTGTGTGTTTGTGTGTGAGAGAGAGAGGCGCGGCCGCGATTGAACAGTGGAAACATAAAAAACATACTCTGTCATTTTGTTCATACAGATCATTAAACCTGCAAAGTGTTTACTTATATTTGTGTACACTCGCAATAAAACACAACATTGTGCTTTTGTCACACTGTAACCTACAACTGTCACCCAATCTCTCTCTCTCTCTCTCTCTCTCTCTCTCTCTCTCTCTCTCTCTCTCTCTCTCTCTCTCTCTCTCTCTCTCTCTCTCTCTCTCTCTCTCTCTCTCTCTCTCTCTCTCTCTCTCTCTCTCTCTCTCTCTCTCTCTCTCTTTCTCTCTCACACACACACACTGTTTTAAAAGCAAAACATATTTATCCAACTCCATTTCAAAACAGTCTGTGGGTCCCATCTTTTGGACATTCGTCATATTGCATTGGTTTTCATTTCTCGTCCTCGGAGCGCTAATCTTACACATTCTACATTGATTAAAAAAGAAAATCGAATGCGTTTTTAATGGTAATATTATTTTATACAGAAATCAATTATTTATAATTCATTATACCAAATTATTATATCAATTACCAAGCATATCGCAAGGTCTTTTTGTCTTTTTATTAATTTAATTAATAAACGAATTATATAAAACTATTGTCAGTGCACTACAAATAAACTGGTTCTATGCCTTTATTAATAAAACTTATTTAAAAAATACAATGCCTTCTGCATTTTTGTTTTGCTTTTCCCTCCATTGTACCGAAATCGTACCGAACCGTGATGTCTGAACCGAGGTATGAACCGAACCGTGACTTCTGTGTACCGTTCCACCCCTAATATACACACACACACACACATATTACACACCTCCAGCTCCTCACAGGTCAGCTGCACTGCAACATCTTTTATTACAGTTTCCGTGCAGTTACATATGAAGATGACGAGCAGCAAAGCTTCATCTCTGAACATACGGCAGGAGGCCAGAGACAGGCTGGGGTCAGAGGTCAGGCTGATGACATCAGAGTGAGGTAGGTCTTTGATTTCAGAGGGTAACAGCGCGGTCAGATCTGAAGACACAGACGGAGGATGTCTGTCCTGTATCGTGTTGGGCCGCACTATAACCATATCGCTGCCCAGTATCTGAGACGTGTTTGCGCGGCGCTCTCCTTCCGTGTGTTTGCTCTGACTCAGGCCATTGGTTGTTGTGGATGTGGATGTGACAGGCTCCTCCTCCTCCAGCAAACTGCCATACAAGAAGCTGTCAGTCTTGCTATGCGAGGAGCGGGAGGAGTCGTCTGAGGATCTCTCGCTGGTGCCTGATGATGATGATGATGATGACTCATGTGGGCGGGGCTTTTTCCGAAAGCGAGGGGGCGGGGCTTCGGATTTTCCCAGCTGAGAGGAAACGAAACAATTAGCATTTACACTACAAATGCAAAACATTTCTGACTACTTCTGAGTGTGGTTTGAGTTGACTTAGACCTGCGTACTTGTATTACAAGATAAAATCTTTCATAAAA